AGAGAAAATCTGACATGGCAAAAGTGTTTCAGTCATCTGACGATTTCGGTTTTTATGACTTATTTGTAGACCTTGTCTTGCTTACCATTTTGCAATTTTTTCTTTATCTCCTATAGTTGTCAAGATTTCCTTTTTTTGTTAGCTTTTGATACGATGTTCGTGTCACCTTAATGAGCGAATAGCGCTTGCTTAGCGTCCAGTGGCAAATATGATATACACATTTAGGAGAGAATGTCGGAATTAAATAAATTGTGAAGGATATATGTTCTGACAAGTGGATCAACTACGATGACGAGCGGGAAATATAGAAAAACAACACAGCCTACACGAGTCATCGGATTTAAAAGTCCCTTAGTTCCGACGGGACGTGACCGCGTATTTTTACATCCTGCACAACCAAATGGACTCTATGGCATTTTTGTTTGTCGGATGGGAGAAGTTCAGGTGACGATTATTCTATACCCCAGTCAAACCTTGATGTTGTGTCAATTTCATTTCGAGAACATGATAATTTGTGTGGCATTTACGCTTTTAAAATGTCTATGTGAGGCAATGTGTGCTTTTATAAATAATGCATGAAATAATTTACATTTCCTCTACTAAAGCAATGAGTTCTTCTGATGAAGACATACTTTTCTAGAAAGGCCATATTTTTTTCTGGGCTAGCATTTTAAAATGTTTACATAGGCGAAAAAGAGAGGCAAAAGACACCAAAGGGACATTCAAACTCATAAGTCGTCAATAATGCCATGGGAACAACTAAAAACGATCAAAAGACAAACAACAGTATACAATACACAACAGAGAAAGAGTGAGCAACACGAATCCCACCAAAACCGCGGGTGATCGCAGGTGCTCCGGAAGGGTGAGCAGATCCTGCTCTACATGTGGCAACCGTCGTGTTGCTCATGCAAGTAAAAACTCGGTGATGGTAGGTCACCTCGAGGAAAAGAGGATGGGATTGTGGTTACGACAATTGGAACATATCCGTCGTCCTCCGTGAAACAGATATTCCATAACGGTCAACTGACTCGTGATGGCGTCTGTAAAATTTTCGAATGGATGATTTCAACTTCACCAATTGGAACTCTTGATTTAATAGCTTCATTGTGAACAGCAACCCTCTATCAAGGAAATCATGATAAAACATGCAAGCTCTGGAATATCTTATCAACTGGGAGATACATACTAGTACTACATATGTAGGCGCTAATGGAATGTTGCTACATAGAAATGGAAAAAGAGAGGCGAAAGATACCAAAGGGACATTCAAATTCATAAGTCGAAAATAAACTGACAACGCCATGGCTAAAAAAGAAAAAGACAAACAGACAAACAATAGTACACAAAACACAACATAGAAAACTAAAGACTGAGGAACACGAACCCCATCAAAAACTGGGGGTGATCTCAGGTGCTCCGGAAGGGTAAGCAGATCCTGCTCATCATGTGGCACCCATCGTGTTACTCATGTTAGTACAAACCCGGTAATAAGTTAAATTCGGTAGGTCACATTCGGGAAAAGGGGACGGGATTGTAGTTACGACATTAGGAACATATTCGCTATCATCTGTGAAACGGATATTCCGTAACGGTCAACCAACTCGTGATGGCGTCCGTAAAAATTACGAAGGGATGATTTCAACTTCACCACTTGGAACTCTTGGTTTAATAGCTTCCTTGTGAGCAGCAATATTCATGATAGGAAATACAAGCCCTGGAGTATCGTATCAACTGTAAAGTTCACAATTGAGAAGCTGAAATCCGCTCTTTTGTCGTAAAGTTTTGTTCTCGACCGATCCTCATAGTCAATTTTTAGGTGTAAGTCAAGATATTAAGCAGACTTAACTGTATCTGTTGTATCCTTTATATCAAGTTCTATGGGATAGATGCGTTCACCATAGTCACCAAACTTTGAATTATTTGACATTTTTACATATTATGCTCACACATTGTTGTCAATATAATGGAATACTATGTGGCTGTCATACAAGTAAGAGGTTCAGCTAGCTATAAAACCAGGTTTAATCCACCATTTTCTAAATAAGGAAATGCATGTACCAAGTCAGGAATATGACAGTTGTTTTCCATTCGTTTGATGTGTTTGAGCTTTTGATTTTGCCATTTGATAAGGGGCTTTCTGTTTTTGAATTTCCTTGGAGTTTGGTATTTTTGTTTGTTTACTTTTTAGTGAGATGCCATCATGCATCTATATAGCGGAACGTGAAGTTAAAGGATAATGCTAGCTTCTTTTCATTCTTCATAAGTAGCTCCTGTATGAAATCAGCCTCATATGAATAAAAGAACAAGTAAGCAAGAAGAGGAGCACAGATGGTTCCCATGGGAATGTCGATAGTTTGTTGAAAACACGTCCTCCAAACGTAACAACTATGTTGTCAATCAAGAAGTCAAGTATCTTGATAATGTCAGTTTAAGAAAAAGATTTTGTTTGAATCAGAGTGAATTTTTACTAAGTACGATTTATCCCTCCCTTATACAAGATAATTATATCTACGTTGGCCATGCTTTTTTTGGAAAAAAATCTGGGCCAATTCTATCAATTTGTCTTTTAGTTTGGAATGGGGAATACCCGTGCACAGGGTAGAAAGTCAAATGTTTTATTATCATTGCAAGCGGAAAGAGTCTTAGTTTGTGTGTACTCTAACAGATCTTTGGAATTTTTTAGTATCCACATCTGATCCCGCCGCCCCTAGAAAAGGTATTTTCACAATAACTTTGAAGCCCGGCTTTGATTGCTGAAAATATTGATGTTAATAATTTAGAGAGAGGTTTCGTGGAGCACTTGGAAGACTTAGCAATCTACCGTCGTTTTTTAAGGACACTTGTGTAATTTAGGTATCTAGTACAGTGAAGGAAGATAGATCCAGTTATTCATCTTTGGTTGAAATTCCAAAGGTACATAGAACAGATCTATGATTATTTAGGATTTCCTCGTTAGTAAGTGTCGTAGGGGTATATGTACTGTTACTTGTAGAATTAAAGTTTGACATGCCATCAGGTGACGTGGGTGAAAAGATGCACAATGATAGGGGTAAACATATTGTCACCGTTCCCGGATGGTCATGTTTAAGTACCTTGAGTCACCGAATTTTTATGCTTTCCTGTTGAATTCAAAATTATTGAATAAATTACCACCGAATGTATGCCCTTGGTTGTTGAATTGTAAGCCTGGAGGGCATAATCTACCCAGTATTACTGATATGATTTAAAACATACATTTTAAATAAATCATCAGTTTATAATATTTCTATAATTCTAACTAAAACTATGGAGGAGTTCTCACAAAAATGACCTTTGAAGGCTGTTTTGGTTAACCTTTGTATGACCTTTGAAGGCTGTTTTGGTTTACCTTTGTATGATCCTGTATATTGTTGCTTTATTTGTTTAAAGTTTTTGTTTTTTTTTTATTTTTCAAACTGCTGACTTTGAGCGTTCCTGATGACAGATAACTGACAAAAGCCTTGACTACAACATAATTAAATGGTTTAAAACATATATATTTGTGTATGGTTTTGTTTTGTGTACTAAGTTTAAACTCCCAACTAGTCCCTATATTTTTAGTACCTGCTAATCACATAGCCGTATCAAAAATACCAATACGTTTCTACATCATTTGCAATAAACCTTGGTGTGTGATTAAAAATACCTATGCTACAAATAGTCACTTTGACACCAAACTTACTGAAAAATTGTTTTTGTGGTACCTCTATTAACTTTCTAAAATTGCCCGTTTATAGATTTTGAAATTATAAAAAAACTAAGGTTTCAACTCCCTCAGGCAAAGTTGGCCTTAGATGGATTTTTTAGGTCCTTTTTGGTTTATAGCTCTTCAACGTTTTCGGTCCTTATACATCCTTGGCTTTCAAAATATTCGGCTCTGAGCGTTCCTGATGAAGGTGAATCCAAAAAAGCGCTTCGGACGCATGAAATTTATAACGTGTTGTTTTCATTTTTTATTCCTGGAAAATAAGAATAGAGGGGTATTACATTTAAGTAATATCGTATGGATAAGAACCAGAACACATTACATAAGTGGAAATAGGTAAAAATATTAAAGAATATTTTAAAAAATAAACAAAAAAGCTCATGTGATCGAAAATATATAAAGGTATCTCGAACTACTTCGTTTCGGTTTCAGAGAAACACACAAAATTATACATTAAGCCCGATGGTAAAAAAGGTCTATAAACAATAAAAGGATCCCCACGAAGAACAAGCATTTTAGACTAAAGTTTGGTTATTACTAGCTCAGGAAATAGGTGACGGTATATTGCTGTAGTAACGCTCTAAAGGAAAATCCACAATTAGAAACTATAACGGACAATAATGTCTGGTGTTAAACTGTGCTTTAGCGCATAGTAGAAGATATTAAGCCCTGTTTTAGGGTTCTTATTTACGTGCTTATTTGATTGACTTATTTTGGATGTAGCCAGACAATCTTCAACTCACAGACAGTATGTTGACCTAGCTCTAGATGTCTTTTTTGTGCTTTTGAGCGTGTAATTTGTATTTAAAAAAAATTTGCATTACTCTATTAGGAATCAACATACAAAATAAAACAAATATATTACAGTAAAAACGGAATGGAAATGAAAATAGGTTGATTCAGAAATCTTTTAAACAGGTATATTTACTAAACTCGCTTCATAAGGAAGAAGAGATTCAAAAAATATCACGACGTGACAAAATGTGTCATACTTATTTGAAGGAAAAAACAAACGGATATGTATGGAGAAGACCAAGGTAGAAGATCAAGGAAGAAGATCTAGTAGACAACTTAAATAAATAGATTAAATGAATTCAATTAACAACAAAAATTGGCAGTTAAATGCTTACTTTTTGTCGTAAAATGCTCGGTTTGCTGACTAACTTATTTTTACGAACTGTGTTTTTGGTGTTAAATATTAGTATATTGTTTCTTTTAAACAAAACGGATAATGTTACACAATAAGATTTATAAAATGGATGGGTGGGTTTATTAGTGTTTAACATCCAGTGGGAAATATAACATGCATATCAGAACGAGAACATATTCATGTGATATGAAAATAAAACCTGCGTTGTACTACTCAGCACACTGAGCCGGCTTTTTTAACACGGTAGTTCACAGGGTAACAGTCCGTAGGAAAACATGTACTTTGTTCTGGCTACGAGCCGACCAATCTTTGCTCTTACTCCAAAATGCCACATGCTTAGCGAAGAAGCAGCAAAAACAAATTTTCAAGTCTCTGGTTTGACCTGGCATGGGATTGAACAAAATACGACACGACAAGGGCGGTCCATTAGATGAGATATAGGGTGAATTTCGTGGATGCAACAAATTCACAAACAACGACATTAGGGAACCAATGATGTATCTAAACATAAAATTATGTTAAAACAATAAAAAAACAAAATGTTTACCAATATGAGATTCATTATTACATCAACAACGGAAACGGAATTGCATTTCTGAGAGCGGTAGCGGGTTTTTCATCCACTCAATTAATTTAGCAGTAGAAACAATATAAACGTCCTTCATTTGTTCAAGTCTGTCTAAAAACATTTCAAAACCTTGCGCATTAGTTCTATAAGCTGAATGAGTAAACCAAATATGGCGAAAGTTAACCCCGAATGGAGTTTTGTTTGAATTATAAAATCTTTCAAAATTGTTCCAAAGAAACTGAAATGTTTCTTCTGCAGTCTTTGGAGAGAACATACATCCATCAACGTAATTACAAGGATATCTGTTTAAATAATCCTTTACAGGAATATTTGGAACCTCCCAAAGTCCCCGATATTTCTTTTTCGGACATTCTGGTATTATGCAATGATCTTTCCATCCATAATCTAATGTAAATGGCCAAACTCTTTCATTTTCCCGCAACACTAAAGTGGAATCATATTGCAATCCTTCCTTAACAAGTTCAGAGTACTGAGCATCTCCAAAGGGTTTAAGTTCTGGACTGCGCCATCCAGTAACCTGTACTCTATTTCGTTTCATTATACCTTTTTGTTGTGCTAGCTGACGGTGAAACTCAGCTATGTTTGCAATGGACGATGAAGATCCCCTCATAGCTATTTCTTGACTCTTATTATTCAAGAAAGAAACATATGATTCTCTTGATCCCTCTTGCGACACAAAAAACGTGCTTGATATCGGGCAGTTATTTGGATTTCTTCTTTCTCCAGAAAATATTTTCTTAAATTTTGAAAATACTCTAGAATCTATGTCGCCATCGAATGAAATGTACACGAATTGAGGACTTTTTTCTCGGACAAGTCCGCCAGGAGTTTTACCTCCCTGACAAAAACAACCTGGGAGTTTACAATTTAATCCCTGTGTACAAGTTTCCTTAGAATTTTCAGCACTGTTTGGTTCCCGATTTTTTGATTGTACTGCCTGTTGGTTTTGTTTGCTTAGAAAACCATTCCACATCCATGACCAATTAAAGTTATTTGTTGATGCACTTGAACTTGCAGGTTGGTGGTTAGTTAAATGACGATGTATTTCTGTTTGTCCATGAGTGGGGATGTCAGTAAATTTTGTTTCAAATAAAACTGTTGTTCGATGATGGTCTGATGTTAGAGCCGGTTTGGTATATTTAGATGTAAATGACCATTGTTCAAATGACGTTTTTGTTGATTTCCTCATTGTGGTCGCTGATTTTGTTGCAGTACTCTTCGTTGTTGGTGAGGTTGTAGCTGTTGTCGGAGGAGGTGTTGTTGTTGGTGGTGACGGTGTGGTCTTTATCGCCGTTGTTGTTGCAGTTGTGCTTGGTATTGTTGCAGCCCTTGAAGTAGGTGTTTTCGTTGTGTGCTTTGCTATCGGTGAAGATTTAGATCGTACAGGAATAACGTTTCCTGTTTTGCATTGCCAGGGACTAAATTGTTTTATATCAGACAATGGAGTTGGATGTTTCATCCATGCTAAGACATGTTTTACAGGCACAATGTAAACATCACTTCGATTCAAGATTTCCGTGATAAATTTGTCCATAGCTTTAAAATTATACTTTGACACAAACCAAGCGGCATGCATATGTATGCCTAATGGTGCCCTGTTTCCTCTATAAGCATTGTAAAAATTCTCCATTAAATATTTGAACGCTTCATCTTCGTTAGTAGGTCTGTTGAGACATCCATCAACATAGTTGCATGGATATTGGTCCTTAAAATCCATCATTGAATTAACAGGAAATTCCCAGAATCCTGGATGGGGTTTAGATAAACAAGGTTTCATTTGACATGTGTATGGCCATCCGTAATCCGCCGTGAATGGCCAGGGATTTTGTTCCCTCATATGTCTTCTGGTGTAAGTAAGTGAAATATCATATTGATATCCCAACTTTCGTAAAACATCTGGCTGATAGTCCCCTGCTGTTTCCAGAAAGGGGCTTCTCCAGCCTATTATTTCAGATTCAGGAATTCCACCAAGCCTTGCCAAATTCAGTTTTTGTAATCTTGCTTCTTGATACAAACTTTTTTCTGTCCTGATATGAGAATGGGTTACACTATGAGATGCAATCTCCATTCCTCTGCCATGAAATTCTCTGACTTCTGCATATGAGGTGTACTGGTTAGATACATACAAAGTCATTCCAATCGAACATCCGTTAGGATTTTTTCTGTTAGACCTGAACAGTTTTTTATATAGTGGATCAACTAATGGCGTCAGAGCATCATCAAAACCAAAATAAACTATTTGCGGAATTTCGGATACATTGAAATGAGGATGATTGAACGTAGCACAGAAACAGTTCGGTAGTTTACAGTTTTCCTCCTGTTTGCACTCCGAAGATAGGCAAGAAGATACTCCATATAGCATTAAAATTACGAAACAGCCCATCCATGCTGACAGCTTGTCCATAGTTCGCACTGTATGTAATTCAAAGTCTCAACCTCAACTGTCAGTTTCAACTGTAAAATTAAGATCTTTATAAATATTCGTCATTCATATGACCATGTGATTTTTGAGAAATTGATGGTTTTCACCCAGGATGTAGCAGGTACTTGAATGAGAAGTTTATCAGCATGAAGTTAGATTTAACACCGACGTTAAGAACTAATCACTTTTTTGTTTTAGTTTTCAGAGTATTTGAAGGGTTATTTATTTGTGTATACTTATACAAACATTCCATTAGGCGGAGTCCTTTCGATTCCGTCAAGTCGAAAAATAGTACAAAATTATTAATTGTAAATAGTAAAAGCGTCAAAGAATACTTTTATATAGTTGCACATATTATCACTTTCTTGATAATACTGTTTAACATGTATATATATATATATATATATATATATATAAATGAAAGTCGTTTACTTCATGTAAGGCCAAAGTTGTGTTTTGCTTAGTTAAATGTCCGCTTGCTTGGCACTGAGTAGGTTTTTGTTAATTATTAGGTCTGAGATTTATACAATATATTTATAAAACCTTTAGGATATGAATTTTTTTAGGGGACATTGGAAACAAATGAAAAATCGACAAGGTCATAAAATAAATCAATACTGAATATTTATATATATCGGAGATATAGTTTTTACTAATACTTATTGGTGACCAAACATCACAGGCACTTGCCTTTGAAGAATAATTATCTATAAACTTTAATATGACAAAAGGTGTTATATTAAGTATATAAGTATTTTTTTAGAGACAAGTATATTAAAGTATATATTTTTTTTTCAGAGACAGGCACCCGAGCCAAATATGTGAAATGGCATGCCCAAAATTTGATATAAGATTAACTTCGTTTATTATAGTCACATGTATGTCCTTAATAATTTTTAGTTCAAATTCAAACACATTACATACTGTTACATAATTTTGTTTTTAACAAGAATAGTTCTTTAATAAAAATTGGCATCAAACTGTATGCACGTTTAGTTATGTATGGGTGCGTTTTCTTTTTTCTGTGTTCTTCTAACGGGCTGGCTCGTAGGTTCAGAAAACTTGACATTACGCAAAACAAATAAAAAACAGACACGGCCTAAATTAAGAAAAAGATAACGAAGTGAATCAATAATGAATATATATCGGGGATACAATGTTACTCCTTAGTGATAATACATGTTGATTATTAAATGACATGCCAAAATTTTGATTAAAGATTTAGTTTGTTTGCTATAGTCATACATGTTTTTTAAAGGAAAACGCACATTATCACTTGGTGCACTAATTGCAGACACACCCTATGAAAATCAACGTATATTAGGTATTTGCCTGCTTGATCTGACCAATGAGGGAATTCTGCACACATCATTTGAATTAATAAAGGATGTTTAAAAGTAAATTTTAAATTAAAAAAAAAATTAGATAAATGGTCGATCGGATATGAGTTGAACTTTTAAGTTAAAGAGTCCCATAAATTACTGAGCGACAAAATTTGTTTATGAAACCATAACAGTAAATTCTGACAAAACAACCAAACAAACGGGATAAACAGTGGACAAACAGGTGTGCGGTGTCTATGTGTTTCATACTGAGTAAGGTATTCCGACCGATAATAGCCATGCGAAAATAGCCCTTTTCCCAAATGTTCATTGCTGAAAATCTGTTCTTTGATTGATTGATAGTTTATCATATCTGACCTAAACAAACAGTTTTGAAAAGTTCACACTACTAAGCTACAATATTATATAATACTAGATATAATCTTCACAATTCATATAACAATTATAGATTGACACTTTTCATCATTTCAGGCTATGCAAATAACAAGTAATTTGAAATTTGAAATTTTGTCATTCCTTCTCACTTGCCATTGGTAACTTATACTGGTAATAATTTACTTGCTCCATGTACCTAAACAGGAGCAAAAGTACAAGAATATTAATTTCAGACATGACAATAAAGCATTATTTCATTCAAATTATGTACATGATATAAATAGCCTATATATAATGTATACCTCTGCTGTCTGACGTAGCGATTACAAGAAAAAAACAAAAATGATAATTCCCAATTTTTCCAAAAAATTATAGAGCAAAAGGGTGTACATATCTGGTCGGTGTACCTCGAGATGGCTCAATACACCAGTTTCACATTTGACTGCGCATGTCTAACCTAATTAGCCAAACTGTAAAATCACGCGATAATTCCCGAGAATTCATCGACTTTGGGCTTACGGTTGATGTAAGCAGTGACCATGCAGACCTGGAAAAACAATTACCTTATTAAGTGTGTGCGTTTATATGTACATGAGCATCATTTGAATCTAAATATATATTGACGAGACAACTTTATTAACAATGACACATTAAAAGATTTTTAAACGGACTACTGTTGTGTTGTAGAGTAATAGACGATCTAATATGCCGCCTGACTTTGTACCTTTAATTGTCACGAAGAAATGCTTGGATTCCCGCTGAGGTCGTTCACTTAGCGGGAAGAATAAAATAGAAAAAATAAGCGGGGCTCACTTCATATCCATATATTAGGTCACTGATCAATTAAGAAGTCAATTAACACCTTAGCCCAGTGGAATCCTAGTTTTACCTTGTACAATCTTACCAGGTGACAATTGATAAAAACGTACCCTTTTCTACATACAGTTGCTGAAAAGGGGACGACCATTTGATATTCTGACGGAAGTCAGAAGGATTTTTTCGGATTGAATATTCATCGTCATCTGTTGTTACCCGGGAATATTATACTGTCAATCACGATTTAATGTCCCAGTTGCTACGCATTCTTTTTCTGTTTTTGCTGCTCGAAAAATTTATCTCACTTTTGTACACAATTATTTCCTGCATTTTGTGATGCAGATTTTTCTTTTTCAGCTTGCTGTGGGCAAAATTATTTATTTTCAGCTCTTACTAGGACAGGATATTCATTTTCTAAAATACATCCTCCCCCCCCCTCCCCGAAATTCAAATGGTCATCCCCTAATACAGATGTTAAAAATGTAAACCCTGTTTCTGTATAAGATACATGTACCTAATTTACACTGAGATATTACGGTTAATGCAACTAGATATATTTTAATAATTTAGGAGGGGGTCATTCAGCAATTTGATCTTATTTTATGGTAAAGCAGGATATTCAATTACTGATAATGATATCTTATTGTAAATTCATTCATTATTAATCAGAATAGGTAATTATATGATTTTTACATAACAAGGATTTTACTAGTACTACGTCCGAAGGATATGTCCACATTTTCTAATTATAAAACCAAATACATGTTCTAGAAGATATAATTGCATTACCTGTTCTTAGAGTCACTCAAAATGTTAGAGCGTTGAAATACAATATGTTATGAGTAAGTAAATGTATACATGAACGCATGTTGATTAATCAATATAAGTAATGACAGCTGTATAAAAATATTAATATTGAAACAAGTTGCTTTCTTTAAAAAAAGAAAAGCAATACGTGAACCTAAGACCGCTGAATGGTCACCAAAAGATTGTTGCTGAATTTTTGTTTTCTTTTGAATTGAAATAATTGACTGTGAATAGAAGGAGATAATGATGAAGTTAAAATACCGTTATTAAAAATATATAATAGTGTGTAAATTCTTGCACAAGTCAGTTGAAAGCAATGTTGGATAGGTGTGAATAGAAAAGTGTATATACAGCTACTATTCGAATATACATTTTAAAGCTCGACTATTTCATTTATTACTTGGTATTGTACATCATTTTTTAAAAATCTTATTGCAAATCCCAGTTTCTACAAACCGGATGTATAATGCAAATTGCACAAACCAATCGCAATATAAATTTAAAGCACTCAGTTTGCTTTATAATCTGGATGCATTTATTTTATCTATCACATCTTTATATTTTGTTTCCTGCATGGATGCCTTCATATTCTCAACTCGTTATTGAAGTTGTCTGTACTCGTGGTAGATGTTGTACAGATAAATTTAAAGTCCATTTTCCATGCGAAGTGAAACCCTGTGGCATGCAACTTATAAGAAGGGTTCGTATATTATTCTTGAGAGTAACACACCAGCTTCATTTGGACCTCTTATATAGAGACTTATTTTGGTCTCATAAAACATCTCAAATTTTAGGGATTTCCTGATTTTACTTAAATCAATCCAAATATTTTACAGGGAAACTTGGTTTTGAAGAATATCTTATTTTCAGAAGTTTTATGAATACCTGAACATACTCTCAAAAGAACCAATTTATATAAAAAGACATGTAGATATAAAAAAAAATACCAGGATTAACATGTTGTACGCCAGACGCGAGTTAAGTCTACAAAAAATCATCAGTGACGCTCGAATAAAAATAGTTAAAAAGGCCAAAAAAAGTACGAAGTTAAGTAATCTATTCCTTGGGTAGAAAATCCTAGGCATTTCGAAAATGTCAAAGTTTATAAAAGGACAGTGACTCAAAAAAGAAAACAAAAGAGAAACAGCTAGAGGTCAGAATACCGTAAGCAATGATGACCGTGCTTGAAAGTCACATGGCAAGCTCTTATTGCCGTGTCCTAAATTTAGATAAGAAAAGCCAAAATTCGCATTCGCGAGTGACATTAATATTTATGCATAAATTGGTATTTTTGTGCAAGAAATAGTAAATAGAAAGCATACGAACTGATACTCTGGATAAGAATACGCATTTGCGTCATCACATATATTAATCTAATAGTTGAATTCGGATGTCAAACTACATACCTGAAGTGTTTTGACTCCGGATTCATTGACATTTTATCCGGAATTTTGTGAACGCAAACCGATAGTGTGCAAGTGAACAGGGATATATATAATGTGAATGAATCAAGACGTGTAGGATAGCTGACCAACACAATGAATACAATTTTCAAAACCTTACCATAGTACAAATATTTAGATGCTATTAGGTAGAACTAATAAAAGAAAAAAAAAAGAAAAAATTAATTAACATTATGAT